CACGACACTGACCGTAATGTTACACGACTTCCATACCGTCTGTGCAGAGAAAAGACCAAGCTCAGCAAACCACGCTTTCTGGCGCAACACAGGTCTTTAGATAAAGTTGGTTTTACAGCGCAGAACCACAGTAGGCTGTTTTGCATCTATCAGTCCCACATGCCGAATTGGTCAGGCATTATCTTGAGACATACGTTGGCTGCCACGTTGACACTTGACACTGCACCGGAGCTGAGCTGAACTGCACTGGTCGGGAGCTGGCTGACAACTGACTGAACTCGTGTTCACGTTCGTCTTGCACAAGCACGAACAAAAGAATATTAATTAGCAATGACAATACATGCTGTCTATTCTAATTCCGCAGCTGGGCAAGCCTCACTAGCCATGGAGCTAAAATAATTATTTTAGCTCCATGCACTAGCTAACTGGGCATTATCAAAATACATTTGTATTACAGCAAAAATAGAATATCATAACACATGCATGTTAAATGCATAGTTTGTACAATCAATCCTAAATCGGCACCCACTGCATGGATTTTCGCAAAACTTGGTCCACAGGTGCATCAGTGTGACGTAACGACGTTTTGGGCTGCTTCTGGTTGTATTAATACATATATTAAGTGCCTAATTCTTTTTGAGTTTTAGTATAATTATTATGTTTCTATTATGTTTTAGTCATGCTGGACTACTGATGTTTGCGCTTCTGATATAGAAAATACAAAAATTGGACCCAAAACATTTCTTTCTCAAACAAAAACAAAGGGAAACCACTAAACAAAAAAAAGAAAAGTACAGTAGCATACTGATGACTAAATTACGTTTTAATAGTTACTGTCTAGAGTTTAGCCTTCGCATACAAGTGCTCTACTAGCTGTTAGTCCGTAGCTCTGCTTAATGAGTCGACCTGTTGGTTTTATGAGCAGTAGAGCTCTACTTTATCGACGTACCATACAAATATCATGTATATAATACCATCAGATCGCCACAAGCTGAGCTATAGTTCCACAGCTCGGCGATGATATATTTGTTATTTACATGCCTCTATTCAGGATATAATTTGCGTTTATTAGTAATACAGCACCATTGATTTACACTGATATTCTCTCTCAAGGTTGTGGTAACGACAGATAATTCAAAATTTCCACAAACCAGATCCACAGAGAAACGTCTTATCATTATTTACTTAGTAAATTGTCAGTTTTAAAAGCATAAAAAAAGCCGTAATCATAAGTGCTAGGTCATGTGTTATTCTACTTTTCGACCCAGTGAGGTCATCCTCTATCATATCTCTCACGTTGCTAAGGGAACCGTTGTTTGGTGCCGGCTGCAGACCCATTAAATCACACATCAACGGATATATGTCAACCGTATCGAAAGGCTCAGCATGGAAATCATTTTTGAATCCTGGGCCGCGAGCGATGAATAACGGCTTCATTGACATCAAGCGGTTGTCGTAACCATGGTTACCGGGCATGTCCAATCGAGATTGGGGAATGTCTGATCGCTATAAGTAAAAAGAAAACAACATTAATTAATATACGTTTTTTTTGTACATTGACCGTCAACATTGAATACTATTAATGAATACAAATCTTTTATCGCTGTCCATAGGTATTGAATGATTAATATTATTATTTTTCCTGCAAACAGACATGGATCACTGAATCTAATTTTCTACCTTAAGAAATTCCCATCCTTCATCGCAAACAACCAAAATTGGTAATATACGTATACTGTCCTGATAGTGCCAATACTCAGGAATATCTTCTTTTAAATAAACCGTCATGTTTGGATGTGCATCTTTGATGGCATTGTACACCTGATCTAACTTTCCATCATTTGGTAGGATGCTCATTATCGGACCAGTTTCGGTGATAATGTAAATGTCGCTAGGTTGAACACCATAATCTTCTAAATAAATTTTTTGAGCAGCAAAAATATCAGTCATCCCGTGATCTGCAGTGACAATAATATCAACAATGTCATAGAGACCAGCTGATTTAAACGAATCGATGAGATAGCCAAAAAGTTTATCCAGGTTCTTCACCATGTCCTCTATTTCGTCAGAGCCGTGGCCATAATCATGTCCAGCTCCATCCGGTTCGTCAAAGTACAGTGCTACAAAATCGATATTTTCTTCGGTGAACCATTTCACGACGGTGTCGATGCGTGCCGTGTATGAATGACTTTCATTATACGGTATCCATATATCGGGGCGGTAGCCTCCATTTGTTTCGGCCTCCCCGCCAACCCAGAAATATGTAGCAGAGCGCCCTCCTTGCTTGGATACCGTCACCCACATTGGTTCGCCACCATTGTCCCACCATTCAGTGTCGTGTGTGTCCATATCAAATGTATCGTTTAATATCGGGTCGTACATGCTATTACCCACAATGCCATGGCTCTCCTGATACAGTCCTGCAATAAAGAAGTGATAAATGGTTACGTCATTTTGGTTTATGTTTTTTTATCTCTGGCCTATGTGATGGAAATAACACCATTGGTGGTAAATAGATTATAGTTTGCATGGAATATACAGGTAATATCACTATTCGCGATGCATTTAAAATAAAAATGCTTTTTTAGCAAATTTACCGATTACTCCACCACATGATTTACTGTGACATGTTCAGTAAAACTCTATTAGTCCACACAACAGCGCCGCCAATACCTCCATACAAAACCTATATTATGCACGAGTACTTATTACTGTTTACTTGTATATTCCTTAACTGGCGTGTTTTATCTGTGTTTTTTGGATACTAGCGAATAGCACCGCGTTCATTTATATGTATTAAAAGTGTTATTAATACTTTGATTTGTATCCTACTTGACGTGATTATAAAAAGAGCTGTTTTACAGGAAACATACGTGAAGCACGCTACAGCGATAAATGACAAATATGGCATTTACGATGTAGCATTGGAAGCAGAAGTATATTGCAACCTCTGGGTAGGTTCCTGACACTCATTATTTGAATGACAAATGATCCAAAATATCACGAGATGATCAGTACGTTGACTGTAGCCTACAAAATATAGAGGAAGGATTGCAGTCACCATGAATTCACATTTGTTGGTACATAACTTCGACATATGCATTACATTTGTAGGCCAGCGTTTATTACACGCTATTACGAGGCGTCTTTCTAGAGAATGGTTTGCGTGGCGTAGTGAGGTTCGCGTTTGCTAACAGTGGCGAAGCGCATTGCTCTATTGACTTGTCCGAATCTCGTACGTTGCGTGTTTCTTTGTTCTTAGCACGACGGTAATTTATATTTATATCTTTTCCAAGGCAACCACCAGGTAACAACTTTTGGATAGTTTAATATATAACCATTAATATTTTATAGTATAGTTTATAATTTTTCTACCACAATATAGAAGATTAGAATATATATGACGTAGTTATAATATTCTGTCAAAATGTTAATATTATATTTAGATTTAGTTAGAGACATATTTGGGCGCTAGAGGGTAAATGTTATGTTGATAGTACTCTTCTTAGTATGTGGGCCGTTTCAAGCCCCTTCTTTATGAACCCTACTGCCCCGATCACTACTGGCACCGTTCTAGTTGTCATTCCCCATATTTTGTTGATTTCATTTCAGCCAGTTTCACAGATGTGTTTCTATCTGATGGTACTGTCATGTCAATGAGAATGCACGTTTTATGTTTCTTGTCCTTAATAACTATGTTTGGTCTATTGGCACTTATTTCTTTATCTGTTTGTATTGGCATATCCCACCGGACTGATACTTCCTCACTCTCCTTTACTGTATTTAGTGGTGTTCATACAACTTGTCTTCAGTCTTCATCACATAATGTCTGCAGATCTTCCAGTACATGTATGCAGTTGTCCTGTTGTGTCTTTGACTGTATTCTGTCTTTGCTAATTCAGGACAGCCAGACACAATATGATCGATGCTCTCCTCATATCTGCCACATATTCTGCCCTAGGGGTCTGTGATATCTTTGATGATAAGGTGATGATATGATCTAGTTGCTAGGCTCTGGTCTTGTACTATACTGCAACAATCCGTCCTTCTGTTTCTGCTTTAAGGTCGTCACTTCGCAACTATTGATTGGTCTTATGTTAGTCAACATTTGCTTCTTATTATCATTATCTTCTCTTCCTTTTTTTTTCTTTACTCTGTTTGCATATTATGTAATTCCCTCTTTTCGATTTTGATGGATTTCATTGGTCATCCCCAGCTCCGGTTTGTATTTTCTTGCTTCTTGGTCGAGTAGATTTTCTTTTTTTTCTCGTGTTGTTGTACCAGCGCGAGCAAAGGGTCATCAGAATTTACTAGGTATGTGTCCAGACCGATGATGATTGTCTTGATAGACATGGATCATGTCTCTTCCTGCTGCTGTTCTTGGTAGATAAAGGCGGCCACACATCAGATTTTGGTTGGTGCATTCTTTCTATAGTGCGGAATTTGCGTGTTTTGGTATCTAACTTCTTGATCTCACTTAGTTTCCAGTTAATAATGTTAAATTATTATTAGTATTAATATCTGCTTAACAGCTGTAGTTTCTGTTCATCTTTTTAATTATAGACCATTTCGAAAATTATTAGCATTAAAAAAAGTATGACAAGCGAGTAGGAGCAAGCTAAATGTTGATGATTACCAGGCAACTAGGTGATAACTTTTAATATGATTTGTCAAAGTATAGCAATTGAATCCAGACTTCAATTGCAAATGTACCTCAGTAAGTTTTATTCGGGCTCTGCCCTCTTGTGAGACTCACTGGCAGGCTTGTCACGAATTAATATAATTTGGAATTGTTTATCTGAGAGCTCAAAAATAAAATGAAAAAAAAATGTCAGCGTGCACGTCAGTTAAAAATGAGTTAATGAATGTAAAATGAAAAAAAACGAAAACACGTCGGCGCATGTTTTGTAACATCTCACGGCCAGTAGCGTTATTAGCCTTATCAGGCGTCAATTATATTGGCGCCACAATTCTGTTTGCGAGAAACACATCAAGTAGGGGAAACCATGTGTCCGATGTGTACAGATAATCTGTAAAGGTGATTTAGAATACACTGCTCATCATAAATTGGCTACAGCCCAGTAGTCCGAAGGTCCACGAGGCCGAAGGTTCACGAGACCGAAGGTTCACGAGACCGAAGGTCCACGAGACCGAACATTCGAAAAAAAAAATCATAGACATTGGAGTCAGGTGCGAAAATGTGTCTTCGTATCGACTGTGTAGCCTGACTACATACATTACCTTTGACGTCTAAACTATATAAGCTAATAAAGATAAACCAGGGACGTTATTCATATTCATGGATAAACACAACACATGCAGTTTAAACTCTTTTCGAGCGATTAAAAATCGTCTAGAATATAAACTCCTATATATTTAGAACGATGCATGTGGCAGCTCACCACCCCAACTGCAACGTAACTGCCTATATTTTTTTTTTTCGATGGATAAATATCGTCTAGAA